GAAATACCTTATAATGATCTTTCAATTATGAAGTTTGACTATATGTTTGGCTAAAGTATTTATAAGTGTTGAATAAAGTAGACGTTTTACTAATTAATTAAGAATAATTTTACGATACTATTGATGTATTGGACTCCAATGAGTATGAATGTTTCTTATGAGAACTCAAAACTAAAATGAAAAATAAAATGACTCTCGAACATTATAAATAGATAAAATAACTCATGCATCTATAATATACATTAGATCCTTATTTATTTTTTTTATTATTATTATTAGGGACTTATTTTCTTATATATTTTTGTTTGAGTTTGTAACATGTTATTTAAATCCTTTTATGTTACGACATCATTATGTTGTTTTTAACAAAAAAATTATATTAAGAGTTTATTTGTTCTATATTTCAGTTTGTGCTTGCAATCATATATTTAATAAATTAATTAATTTATCTTATCGGCCAAAAATATTTGTCACCACGTGCATTGCACGTGTACTTTACTAGTAACATCAAAAAGTGTCATTAATTGAATTCAATAAGGTAGCTTCACTTCATAAGGGTGTCTCCAATAGTTAGCTATTTGGCTAGCTATTATGACGTGGACAGGGGAAAAGTAAGAGAGAGAGTAGTCACTAGCTACTAACAAATAGCTTATCTATTTCACGTAGCCCAATATTATGTGAGAGGAGTATGTGGGTCCAATAGTGTAATATAATTATTTTTCTTATCTCTCACATCCATGTCAGCTGACTATATAGCTAGTAATAGCTATTACCATTGGAGATGCCCTAATGATGTTACCAAAATAGCCAATTATGATTGGCCTTAGAGTGGCCAATCCATGTACTGGAAAATAGAAATAAATGTATCGAAAGGGAAAGTTTATGAAAGCTCAAAAGTAGCTGAGAGATTTTAATGCCCAGGATGGGACTTGCCGTGTTTCTACAAGTCTTCTTGATATTATTACAACCCCTTTCGAATTGGGTAATAATAATAATATCGGTTTTGGCTTCATAGCAAAATCGATAATAATAATATGACAAACAGAGGTACACACGTGGCAGCGATGGAGGATTGTATGAATTGATTTGGTGTCGTTTTGTGCTGGCAAGGCATGAATGATCTTGTATCCTAAGTTACCACGTTGACCATATTATAAATTCATTGAACCTCACATTAATAATACACTTCTCTTCTCTTCTCTCACAGTTTGGTAGGTCTATTGTCAGACTCAATCTAATTTTTGTGTCATCCCCAAAAAGTTCCCATACTACCTGAAGACAGCCAAATCACATTTTTACACAAGGGCTGAAAAAACTTTTGATTATTTTTTATGCTATATGTGTTCAAGAATATGAATAAATGAGAAAAAATTTAGAGTTATCTTTTTTTTTTTTTTTTTTTTAAGTTTTCACATTGTCTCCGATAAACCACCACCTTCTATAAAAAGCAATTCCTTCGAAATGCCTCCCAAACAAATTGAGGTTTGACCGTTAAATCCGAATTTAAATTGTAAAAATCTGATTTTGGGAGGCAATTTATCGAAATTCCGTGTTGGATAAGTTCCGACTGGCACGCAAGGCATAACGATTCAAATACTTCGTGAGGCATTAGAAAGAATCTTCAGAAATTATCAAGTTCCTCTCAACCTATTTCTTGATACTCATTCAACTAATCATAAAATAGAAAATGAAAAGAAAACACTATATTATCAGAGGGAACTAAGATACAAACATATAAATAACTCCCACTGTTAGGGTTTCTCATATTTCTACTACATGAGAACCCGATCAGCATTCCTATACTAAAACAAGGAAACTAATTAATTAAACAGTAGTAATTAACTAGGACAGATCAAGATTTAGTTTTCTTCCAAAAAACTTGTACTAATTAATAATCTTATCATCATCAGTCAGCAAAGACATACAAACACAAATTAACCCAAAAAACCAATATTTTCCTTTTGCTCTTTACCTATATATTGATATTGATATTGTGATGTATATCACTACTATTCACTGCTCTTCCTTCTTAATAGCGGACCACGGCACGACATCTTGAAGAAGCCCATGGTCCACGGTCGGCAAAGCAGAAGACATTGGCGGCTTAGAGCAAACGTTGTAGCCGAATGAGTTGAAGATAGCGGATGAGTAGTTGTTGATTAGATATTGCTGATTGTGAGCTAGAGCGGGCAAATGGGCCGTATCGTCGGATGAGAAGCCCGAATAGGGCTGCGGTGCGTGGATGGGCCGGGGCACATGTGGGCTCGGGTGGGTGTGTTGGCCTTCGTACGTAGTCACTACAATGCTTGGATCGTTTGAATTTCTCTCCACCCTTTTCTTCACATTGCAGGATGAATCTGTACATCTATAATAGCTCCTGCAAAGTAACATAACTTTATAATTACAAAATTTTCACCTTTGTTTTTCTTTTGAAGAAAAACAAAATTGAACTTATATACCTTGGAAAAGGGCTGTTTTTGACAGCCTTTTGGCCGTATTTTCTCCACCTATAACCATCTTCCAAATGATCAACCTCGCTCTTTGTCATGAAAGCAAATCTTGGCTCTCTCTGCCTCTTATGACTCGTTTTCTTTGCTTTCAACCTACAAATTAGACAAAAAAACAAAACAATAATGTACCGAATTAAAAAAAAAAAAAAAACAATAATGACAGTAAACAATCATACTTTACTTCACAATATATATGAATACTTTCAAACTGAAATATCATACTCTAAACAAAACAACATAAACAAAAAATGCCACAATATTAAATAACACAAAGAATGCATTTTTTTGTTATATATATATGCACAAATCACATGTTTTCATTCCCTCTAGCTAAAATTAATTATAATAATAATCCAAAAAAAAAAGTGAAAATAATAAAACACTAACATCTTCTTAGTCTTTTGATTTTCCTCTTCTGCTTGGTCTTTTTCTTCTTCTTCATCATCTTCGTCTTCATCTTCTTTGGTCCGCTCGTGATCATTCCCGGAGTACTCCGACGAAATAGAGGAAGTATTCGGTGTGGCCGGCGCATTAAACCCCTCCTCCACCGGCCCACGAACCTCCATCTTCGGATCATCAGGAAAGCAAATCAACGGCTCATCTCCAAAGACATCAAAAACAGAGGGCCCCACGTCGTTCCCGCCGAGGAGCTCCACAAACCCTAGCGAGCTGCTTTTGTCGTCCAATAGCTCCGACAGCCCGCAATAGCCGCCGGCCGAGTAAGAATGATCCGAAAACGACTGAAAAGTAACATCCATGTTTTGTAAGAACTAATGACAACTGGAAATTTCTAGAGAGAGAAAGTTAGCTGAAGAGTGAGACAGAGAGAGTAAAAGAGTTCTTGTTTTTTTTTTTCTGTGTGTCA